CCCAAGCACAATAGCACATTGTTCTCAAGTCTGTTCTTACCTTTTCAGGGTTAGCTAGAAGAGATGTTAAAGACAGATTCCAGGTAGCGTTAGGCTACACCTCCTTTTTGGAGAAGGAGGGTGAAGAACCTAACATTTCTTCTCCATCTCACTTTTATTATATTTAACTATATAAATCTCCACAGACCTTGCTTTTTCCAACAGAAGGGATCAGGTTTTATTTTTTAAATCTTAAGATAATTTTACTATATTCCTTGAAGTAGTAAGACCAGAGTTACTGCTTCAAGGAAGGGGTGGGGGAGGTATTTTCACAGTCCCACACTTGGGACTTTGCATGTTAAGAACATATGCATTTCAGTGTCTGCCAATGTCTTAAGCACTACGTGTAGCTGTATGAAGCAAAACTAAGAAAACAGATGAGCTAAAATCTTGTCTTGCTGTAGAACTAGACTTATCTGGATTTTTTTTTTTTTTTTAACTTGCATCACCAGTAATACTGCTTATACTTGGGTCGGCAATGCACGATGTAGCCGTTAGGTGGTGTCAAAGAAAACCTAAGACCTCTAAAAATATATATATATAGATGTAAAAGATGTAGGGACAGCCATTGACTTGTCAAGCAGAGCTTAAAGAAAAGGGTGCTTTGGGGTTTTTGTTTGATTTTTTTTTTTTTTTTTAGGGGGTGGGGAAATGGGGGTAGGGAGGATGGAAGGCTTGTCCTTGAGAAAGAACCTCAAGCTATTTATCTTCAGACCAACTTGCTGCACTTCAGAACAACTTCGCTGGGTCTTTGGGAAGGTAGCAAAAATGTTGGCTTTTGATTTGCCTTTTTTAGCCAGGTGAGACTGACTGGTTCAGATGCTGCTGGGCTGAGGAGAGTGTCCAGGACCTAGAGCGGCCCTTCAGAGGGAACTCAGCTAAGGCCTGGAGGGAGGGCCCCAAGCTGGCTGGGGTGTTTGATGTGCATCTGTGTATTCAGATGACAGAATTTGAAATGATGGGGTCTTTTGTTTGCTTTTCAAATTCCTGCAAAGACTGTTTGGTTCCAAAATTGTTTTTGTAAGTGGAACTTTTCCAGGTCAGGCCTAATTTCCTTGTGCTTTTTTGTAAGGCAGTCTGTGACAGTCTCCCCCACTGCTCATTTTGGCTTTTTTTTTTGTAGGATTGAACATACTGTGCCAATAGTGAATTCAAAAGTGGTGCTAAATGGTTTGGAAGATGTTTTTCTAGAACTTGAGGGTTAGCAGATAATAACGCTCGCTGCTCAGAAATAGTATGCTTATGGCATACTGTCCTCAGTCAGCTTCCTCCAGCTGTCAGTTTTTTTCCTGCTATGTTTTATATATACATATATTTTTGAGGGGCAATGGGGAAGGAAGTGGAGCAGGGAAGGAGCAGAGTTGTTCTATTAGCCATTCAGCAGCGCAGTGTAAAAGTCTAACCTGCCTTCTTTTGGTCGTGGACACCAGATAACTCTGGTAACTTGCAAAGGGGCAAAAATTGTGATCTAGGATGAACTTGCTAATCATGAACTTGAGTCAGTTGGCTGATTTCTGCCAATGTTGATTTCATACAACCTTTGTAGCATGAAATAACTGATGAAGAATAATTCTTAGATAAGTAAGTACTATTCCAAAATCTAAAGAAAAATTATATTGAACAATGTTGCAAAGCTATGCATCTTGGACCTAGGAGCTGTGACGTATTCTTAAACAAATAAGCCTGTTTTTGTTTTATCGATTGTTTTAGCTTGGTGGTTCCATCAGAAGTGAACTGATCACGTTTTTCTCTTATGTGCTTTTGCTTAGTGCTTTCTCCAAGCTGCTAATTTCTCTCGGCTTGTTTGGGTTCTGAAGCTAGTCTTTTAATTGTATTAGGGTATTAGACTCCTCTAGAAAGTGAGGAGGAAACTACTTATTAAGGTGGACTTTTCTTCAGAGAACATTTAATAGAATTTTTTGTATTAAAACTGAAACAGCCCAGTGTCTCAATTTGTTGAAATTGATAATTAATAGGGCTAATGATTAACTAGGGTCATGAGTGTATTAGGCTTGGAAACTTTGCCACCGTATTTTTCCAGTGGGATTTAGTTTCCTCAGGATATGCATTCAGAATTACTAAATGCTTCTGAAGTTGCATGCAAGAACACTGACCTATTTGCTTTCAACATACAGTTAAGATCAATAAGTCAATCTTTCTGAGAGTATTTCTTTTGTTCAGCCACAAAATAGGCATTTTCATCTCCTGCAGTTATTGGGAATTATGCCTTTCTATCCAAGAGACAGGTTTGGTCACCTATAATTTTTCTAATTTTGAGCAATTTAGCTGTTCAGGCTTTCAGAAATACTGCAAACTAGATCTGATTTAGCCTACTCAGTTTGTGCTTTGAAGTAAGATGAAATTCAGTTTATAGTGGAAAAATCTGTTTAATGTTTATCTTGGAAGTCTAAATTCAGGTGAACAGACCAATTTAGTGAGTTCCACTAGATACTTGGTAGACATTTTCTTCCTGCTGTATATTTTGGCCTTATATTGAGAAGTTTGATTTATTATTAAATTATTTGTGTATGCAGACTTAATCTGTATGTATTTTACTTTGGTGTATTAGGATTTGTAAATAATACTGATTTTTAAATATTATTTATGCACATACTTAAAGGACTGGTCTACCCAGAAAAAACAATTGCTAAATAATAAATGTTACTTTTTAAAAATAAAGTGCGAGATCCTTAAATTGTATATCCCTCAGGGTTATTTTAAAAGTGTTTTTCCCCTTCAGATTTAATTAGCAGTAACTCTAGTTTCAAGTGCTATAAAACTAAATCTACTAAAAAAAAAAAAAAAAAAAAAGGTTATGAATTAATGCTTGAGCAGAAATGACCGAAACATTCACAAACTGTCCATATTCATTGTAAATTTAATTTGGAAACTTCTGCTGTTGCACTTTAAAGGGAAAAAAAGAAAAAAAAAAGTTGGGTTTTTGATTATATTTATTTTTCTTTATGAAGGTTGTGCTGAACAGTCATCCCAAATTGGGTAAATGTTTCTGTACTGTACATGTATACACAGTATAAAACTAAGCAGATGTGGAGTCCTTTTTTATGCTGCAAGTTCTTAATGCCTATGTTGGTCATCACAAACTGCAAGAGTTAAAGTTCTGTAGGATTTTTCCCATGAAATTCTGGATTGTAAACTTAGGTTTTTGTATGTTTAAGGGAAAGCTGTGGGGTTTTGACAATTTTTAGAGTCTTGAATATGTTGATTTTATACAGTAAAGCTTCAGGTTTTTACAGCTATTTTCAACAAAACTGCAACTTGTTTGATAATTATGTGAACCAGGAACTACTCACGTTGTTGTGAATTCCTCAATCCTCACAGATAAAAAGGCATTACAGTGCTTTCTAGAAGCTCAGCTTCCTTTTTATTTTTAAACCCAAAATGACAATACATCTTTGTATTTAAAACGTGCATTGCTGCTCTAGAATGGTACCCTGTTGTCAAAAGGCATACGTAAATAACTGTACAATAGAATTGTAAATAGTCTTGTAAATCATTTTTGTGACTGAAGCTCTTTGAAATAAAATTAAAATGAACAGATTCTATTTTAATTCTTTTAATTAGTTTCATGAAATTATTTTTAATCACTGTACATACAATTCAATCTGATCCAAAGTGTTGAAGAATATAAACTTCTCTGGCTGATATCACAGGTGTCTTGTTCAGTTCCTGGTTTTGAAGGTGGAGGACGGTGAATGCGGTGGGTGTTTGAAATGCGGATATGGCACTGCTGTTCTGGAATAGAGTAACAGTGACCTACTTTCACCTGGTGGTTAATGAAAGCCTTTTTAAATCAACACCTTTTACCTAGAATAGAGATTTTTTTTTTCAGTTTTGTTATCTTTTTGTTATTCCTTTTTTCTGATACTTGGGAAGCAGTCTTGAAGTGACTCTCCTGTGGGAATGTCTCTGGTTGTGAGTGGTGTTATTGTCACAGTCATTTTAAGAAAAATCACACACAAATAAAGACAGCCTTTTCCTCTTGTAGCTCAGCCTCCTTTATTTTTATTTTTATTTTTTTTTTGGTAGAGCACATTGTTTTGAGCTTGAAGACAACGTGTTTGAAATGTCTGGTAAACAAACAACTTCATTACAGAAACATGGAGTCTTGCAACTCAAAGCTAATGTATGGATAAAGCCTTTTTTTTGTCCGGACTTCAGGTCTTGTTTGTCTGTGGCTACAGAAGACTTAAGAAGAAAAACAGGAAGCCAAATGTCAGGGGTGGATTACTTAGACAAGAAGTAGAAAACAGGTCACTAAATCAAGTTTCTTTGACAGGACAGGTTAGAGCGGCCTTGAGAAGGTACATACCACTAGAGAAACAGATGTGTCCCTTCCTACAAAACCTAATGCCTCTCTGCTGTATATAACTAGCTGAATGTCTAACAGGAAACTTGAAACCTTTTTCTAATCCTAATTTGGGCTGGAAGACCTAAGTCTCTGGCTCTAGGCAACCAGATTCGCATCAGACTGGTTGGTGCAGCTACTCCAGTGCCCTGCCAGAATTCTGGCTACGAGTGTCTTTGGTGCCATCACATGTGTGACTTGTTTTCCTCCTGTCTTGTGAGTGGTTTCAAATTTGATAGCGCTGATAATCTGCACGGTGGAACTTATGGAAACCAGTTGCTTCTGCAACTAAAAAGTAGGCAAAATCTTAACCCATTCTTTGGTCTTTGAAAATAGTTATGTAAATGAGTAAAGTCTTATCTAGAGGATGTGTGTTGCAGTTTTTCTTCCCATTTAAAGTGCAGAATCATGGTGAAGCCTGATTGCCCACTGTGTTCCCATTGAGTTCCTCTAAAAAAGCAGATAAGCTTCTAAGGTGTCAGTTTGCATAGTATGAAAGAAGAGGGGTGGAAAGGGAGATAAATGCTTGTCACTGCCTGCTTGTGGGCTAGCCCAGATCTGGTACTGGACTTGCTGCTGCTACTGGGATGCCTGAAGCAGCCAAGGTTGGGAACTCCTGAGCTACACAGGAATAGCTCATGTTTTCTTGGTTTGTGATACTTTCGTTGCCTGTGAATTTCTAGATTTTCTGGTGGATTCTTGTCTAATATTGAAAAGCCCTTGGGGAATGTGAGTTTCAAGGTGGTGTTTGTTATTGACTTATTGTCTCATTTAAATAATTTGAAGCCTTATTTTGGATTTCAGCAGCCCAGCAAGAGCTTACTCAGGAACATCTGTGTTGCCAGGTGTTAGTGCTAGTCCTCTATTTGCCTAGGAAGCGATGCAGATTTTACTGGCTTTCATTTCTCTCAACCTAACCTAGAATATTTTTTATCTATTTGGCGGGGCCAGGGGGGGAGGAAGCAGCTCGTCTGGTTTTATTTGTTTAATGTAATTCTGACTTCTGCTGTCACTGGCAGGCAGCTGTTTGTCTGTGGTGACGTGCTCTTGTCAGCAGTTCGGGTGTTTGAAAAATTCAGCTGTCCTACCTGAGCCTGACTGAGTCCTTTTTCTAAATGATTGGTTTTGTACCTGTTTCTCATGTTGGTTAGAAGAATTCCATCCCTGCTTCTGGAAAGAGGCTGTTGGAATGAAGTCTTCCATTTCTGACAGCCTTCTCAGGACTGAAAGCTGAAAGAGGCAGTTTTAGCTGTTCGAGTGTTCCGCGGTCCCGGCGGCTGCTGCTCATCAGCCAGTTCCTTGGCTTTTGGGGTCCTGGTTTCCAATGTGCTTTATGATTTCACTAAGGATGAATTCCTAAACTGTGGAAAGATTTGTTTGACATAGTCTTAAGTGTTGGCCTTATAGCTGCAATAGTTTAATAGTTGCTTTTCTGTTCCTTTTGCTTTGGAATATAGGCAACTTTTGGATTGAGTGCTATACTTGTTGCAGATCTGAGGACCTAGTGTCCTTATTGGTACAGCTTTCTAGCTAACTCAACATTTAATTCCTCTCATTTAATTTCATAGTATTTTTTAATATCTCTGACAATTTAGTATTTTGTTAAGCTGCTGAAATGAGGCATTACTTGTTATCAGGGCCTCACTACTGTCCTTTGCTGAAATAGCTCGTCTGCTATTTTGGGCTACATCAGAAATAGACCGTCTCTTCTTGTGAGTTCCTGAGCTGTTCCAAGAAGTGATCGCTTGCAAATGCTGAGCAATGGTCTAACAGGACTGGTCTGGTCTGTATGTGGCCACTTAAAACATTACAGGAGTTGTAGGACACTTTCTTCTACCTCGTTATAAATTTTTACCTGTTACTACTTTTATCCCTTACCAGTTAAGCTTTTTTTATCCATGCTGTAGGTTCTGTCAAAGCAATAAGAACAAAGCTCTGTATATTTAAACTTCTAAGCTTTAGATAAGCCATAATAAAAAAAAAGTGATGTAATGTTTTTGTTTTCAAACAAATACAATGCTTTGACTATTTTGTAGTCGATTTGTGACTTGTACATGCTTCTGTTTTAGTTGACTCGTACAAATACTCGTACAATACATAGCACATAGTGCTAGAATAAGAGCTTTGTCTGCACTTCTCAGTGTAAGCTGAAAACCTGAGCAGTGCTTCCATTCAGTAGTAAGATTTTGAAATTTGCTTTCAAGACAGATAACTGTGGTATATTTACAGCTTGAATTCAATTGAAAATTGAGGCACAATTTTGATGCTTCTAAGTTATTAAATACCTGTAATCAAACCCTGACTCTCTTTATCTCTTGTAACAGCTACTATTTCTGGTATGTCCACAAGGATGTTGGTGTTTTTGTCAGTGGTGATCAAGCTTTTCCTCCAGCTGGATGCATCTGCTTGTCCTGAGAAATGCGACTGCTCTCTGAAGGACGGAATTCGTTGCTCTGGTCCCCATATAAAAGACCTGGAATCATTAAATCTGCCTTGCAACATGACAGAAATTCACATAACGAACACTCATGTAACATCCTTGCAGGATACTTTTTCCAGGATGCTGCAGCTACAGAATCTCATCTTAACTTCCAACAACATATCTGTGATTTCACCAACGGCTTTTAAAGGCTTGCATCGGCTAAGAGCCCTCAAGCTGCTGGATAACACGCTGGCTGAGCTTCCCGAAGAAGTGTTCAGTGACATGGAATCCCTCCAGCAATTGATCATTGAAAATAACAGGTTGAAACGTATAGAAGAGAATCTCTTTGACAAACTGGTCAGTTTGCAGGAGCTTTTTTTGAACAAAAACCAGCTAACAGCGCTTCCTGGAGGTGCACTGAAGAAGCTTGCCAGGCTCGAAGTGCTGAACTTGTCGAGGAACAACTTGGCAGCGCTGCCTAGCGCTCTGTTCAGTGCATTGACCAGACTTCAGAGGCTGATGCTGTATTTTAACCAGCTCTCCTCAATAGAGTCTGGTCTGTTCGATAGCTTGAAGGAGCTGCTGGAACTTTTCCTGCATTCAAACAACATCCAGTCCATCGCTCCCAGTGCATTTCACTGTCTTGGTAAACTGCGAGTTCTCACGCTCTCCAGAAACAAGCTTGAGCTTTTGCCTTCTGGCCTTTTCCTGCACTTACCTAACCTGTCTAAACTGACCTTGTACAGGAATCCCCTGAAGTCACTTCCAGAAGTATTGTTTGGAGAAATGAGGAATCTTGGTAGCCTGTGGCTGTATCACACACAGCTCTCAACTCTACCAGATTTTGTGTTCAGTAACTTGACAAATTTAGAGCTTCTTGTGCTGAGTTTCAACCCAGAACTTAGTGTTCTTCCTAAGAATGTGTTCAGTGGCCTGATCGAACTGCAGGGCCTATCTCTGCATACAACTAATATTTCCAGTCTGCCAGAGGGCATCTTCCTGGACCTTCAGAAGCTGCAGAATGTTTCCATTTTTGATTCGAGGCTTGAGTTTCTTCCTAGTAACCTCTTTCATAATCTCAAGCACCTTCAAAAAGTTTACCTCAATAGTACTAAGCTGCAGTCTCTTCCTGGAGATATTTTTACAGCTTTACCTGAACTGCAAGAAGTCTTCCTTGACAACAACCCTTGGAAATGTGATTGCCAAATTCTTGGCTTCCAGGAATGGCTTCGAAAGAGCACTGATATAGTAAGAAAAGCCCAATCTCTGATGTGTGACAGCCCACTAGCACTGAAGAATATTTCCCTTATGGCTCTAGAAGGTCATCACATGAATTGCCTGCCAACCTCAGCTACTATATACCAGGCACTTGGGAGCTCAGCTCATCCCCAAATTTCAACTTCTCTGGTGACAGAGCAGCCGAAATCAACTTCGGTGGCCACTATAACAGCAGTGACCAGCACAGATGCTAAAGCACCCACATCGATGCCTCTTGCAACGCTAGGTTTCACTTATTCACACGTTCCAGGTGTTGGACAGTCTCATTCTTCAGATGTTCCAGCCCAAACCTCTCTGAGAATCTTTGTAGAAACCAACAGCATAAGAGGAACAGATTTAAGTCCCGAAGCAGATTTAGGTGCTTCTGCCTGGTGGGAGGAGCTGCCAGCCCGCACGAGCACAGAGCCCCGCTTTAATACCATGGTTGGACAGTCTCATTCCTCAGGTGTTCCAGCCCAAACTTCTCCAAGCACCAAAGTAGAAACCAGCAGTGTAAGAAAAACAGATTTGACAACTGGAATAGATTTAACTACTCCTGCCTGGTGGGAGGAGTTGCCAGCCCGCATGAGTGCTGAGCCACGTTTTAATACTATAGTTCCCTATTGTCAATTCTTTTTGTGTCTTCATAGCTTGATTTTAGCAGTCCAGATTGTAACTGTTGTGATCACTCTGTATATGATGTGTAAAACTAGGCAATTCTTACACTCCAGGGAGATTCCTGCTCAGCCTGTTGTTCTGATAAAAATTATTAAGAAACTATAGAATACCAGCCAAGAAGGGGATTAGAAACATTGTTTTGAATGCAGTTCCTACATTTAGGCGGTTCCTGCTTGATTCAGATATGGTTTACAAATTTTACATAACAAAAACCATAAATGCCTTGTCTTTGCAGCGTGTTGAAAATGCATTTTTATGTTGCTTACAGTGTTGGCCAAAAGTGATTGGAATCACTATGTGTTGTTGCAATGCATAGTGAGAGGGAGAGCTGGGAGGAAATGTGTTATCTATCCACACAGCTGAGACCTGCGGCTCGGCGCAGTTGTGTTCCTGGTGACGCCGTGTCGAAGCGCTGCTTGCTGCTGTGCTCACCTGCTGAAAGAGAGAGCACCCCTGAGCGAGCTGTGTGCTCTCCTGGCTCTGTGGTTGGAACTAAAGCAGCAGCCGAGGAGGGAAGCAGATGCAGAGAACCCTGATGGGCTTTAACTGATGTTTAAAGATTGCCTATAGTGCCCCACATGCTTTCCGGGGCATGGGAGGAGGAAGGTGGTATTAATTTTCAAAGGCGGGGGGAAAAAAGAAAAAGCTGTTTAAAGCTAGCAGCGACTTCCTCTAGCTTTCCCAGAGAAAGCTAGATAAGATGCTGAGGTGGAAACTGTAATCTTCAGAGATCCTCCCTGGATGGCTTTGAAATGGCATTTTACAAGGTCAAATAAACTGCATTTACTGCAAATTTGTAGTAATAATTGTATTTCCCTGTTTGCTGCTCTAGGCAACGAGAATAAATTTCTGACTGCTTTGCCCCACAGTACTCTGCTGCCAGACTCAAATTTCTTTTCTAGCCTATAGGAAGAGGCAGTCTGCATCTGCTATGTCGAATGATCACTGACTTGTTAAACTTTGGTAATACTTGCAAGCAAGTCTGGTAAAAGTAATCTGTAGAGCAGAATTGTGGTTAAAGCTGGTGAGAACTAAACTGGGACTAGGTTAATAAGCAAGCGCCAGAATATCTATTCTATTTAAATGAGAAAAAGCATGAAGCTTTATTGGCATTTTTTTTCCTGAGTTGTTGCATGCAAGCACTTAAAAGTAGGTGACTGATATAAATTTATGTTCATACTTGGACAAATGCAATGACCATATGGCGTTCTACAAACTCCAGTTTTGGTCATATCAACACAAATGTCTGCTTACAGCAGGCAGGAAATGAGAGTAATCTGGACGTACTGGACGTGTGCAGAAAATTGTTCTACACACTCTGTGCTGGTTATTCTTGCCTATTTTGGTACTGGAGAACTGCATTTGCAGCCAAAGGGTCAGATTTTTTTTTTTAATTTTACAAAAAGCAGCAGTTCCCTCTGTGTGACTGCCCTAGGGGAGATGCCGGGTGCCGCTGGAGAGCGGAGCAGAGCCGCCCGCTCCGCGGCGCCCCGCGCTGCCCTGGCCCTGCAGCCGCCCCGCGCCCTCCGCGCTCCCCCGGCTCCTCCGCTCGCTGGGCTCTGGTGCGTGGGGGCTCTGGCACGCGCTGTGTGCACAGGCAAGTGCCGAGAGGAGGATGATTTGTCTTTACAGGCTGTCATGGGGCTTTCCCGCTCCCAGGCCAGACAGGGGAAGTGAAGTCAGCAGGGAACAAAAGGGCTGGAGTAATAAGGGCTCAGGGGTGTTTTACTAAAGCTTCCGTTCTCCCCTGTGACTGGGATGTCATGTTTTGTGTTGCCTCTGACTCACTGAGTTTTGCCCAGTATAGCTCAGCCCTTATTGGAAAACTCTGGCTTGGGAAATCCAGGAATATTCTTGCATCCCTTCTCCACTTGGCCTGGAGCAGGGACTCTCTTCCCAGTCAGCCTGGCAGCTCCTGGCAGGACAGGAGGCAGCAGCGAATGTAGCTCCAGTAAAGCCCGGTCGCATCTTGGATTCTCGCTCCAAGGGGAGCGTTACCCCGCTCATCAGGTTTGCAAGGACAGAGATGCAGCCCTGAGGGCTGAGCCTTGCTGGCTTTTCCAGGCTGTGGTTTTCCTGCAGCCGGCTCCCCTCTGTTGCCTTTGGGGGTTCTCCCTGGGCCCTGCAGCCCATGCCTCTATGAGCTGCTCTGTCCATCCTTGGCCACTGGGTCACTTAGGGGTTACCTGCAAGCTGGGAAAGGTTGGAGATGCCCAGGCTTCAGCCTGTGGAGAAGGCAATGCGGCTGGGCTTCTCCCGGGCTGGGAAAGGGTGGATGCAAAGCGTATCTGTGCTCTCTCTCAAGATATCAGCTCCACACCCTTGGCTGCTTCAAGACCTCTTGGAGCTGAGGGAGCTCTGACCTGTTGTGCTGAGGCGGCAGGACTTCACCGCATGCTTGTAGCACGATGTCATTGCAGGTGCTGGTCTCCTCGCTTGTCAGTACTGAGTGCACTGAGGTCCTTCCCAACGACCCAGAGAATGCAGCAGCAGTGAGGGGATTAACTCCTGCTTTTGCTCTCCCCACTGTGGCAGCAGTTCTGAGGCTCTTCTCCTGACTGCTGTAGCACAAGGTCATGCTCCCTACCAGCCAGCAGCACAAATGTTCTCTCGTTGTCTCCTGGTATCTGCTCTTCCCATCTCGCATTGCTGTGAGGAATCAGTAGCTGTTTGAGGGCCTTGGCCTTTGGTCACGGCTTAGAAGTGAGCAAGCTCATTTGTCCTTCTCCTCAATGCAGCTTCTCTGGCAGTAGCAATACAGGCCACTTGAGGTGCGGGCTGGTACCTTCGTGTGTCCTGGAGTGGTTGTACTGCAGCCAGACCTGCTTTGGCTTCTCCTATTTGGCCCTCCAGCACATAACAATAAGGTAGCGTGTCGGTCTCGGTTCCTGCTCCTGCCTACCCCAGTGGCGAAGAGAAGTGGTGGTTCTTGCCCCTGACGTTGTGCTCGCCTTGTCATCTGAGAAGACACCCAGCGGCAGCTCCATGGTTCAGGAGCGTGTGCGGAAGCTGCCAGCGAGGCAGGAGCTCTGCAGCTCCCTGGTTGATGTTACTGAGCATTGGCCATGCCACTTCTCCAGCTCTTGGACCAGAACATCTCGCCTCGGGAAGCTGATTCAGCAGCAGGGATATTGGAACATGGTATTTCCTAAGGATTACTGAATAGCTGGGGCTGAGATGCTGCCAAAGGCACATATCCAGGGGCCAGGGCTGTTGTGTATAAGCTGAACTTGATGCTCAAGATGCCTGGAGCTTCTGCTTTTCCCTTCCTCCACCCTCTAGGGAAGAAGCAAGGTGGGGAGAGGAGCTAGGCCTCCCTTTTTGTAGCTGAAGGATGGGTTCACGTCCGCTTCCCTCTCTGGTTTTCACAAGCAGCTGAGCTTTTGCAAAGCCTCATGCCAGGGCTGGGCTACATGAGAGCTGTGAGCTGCTGCAGTCCTTGTAATGCCCTCTTATGGGGAGGGAGAAAGGGGGGCTGCTGCTCCAGTTGTCCTCTGAACTATCTCGTACCCAGAGCTGCTCTGTCTTGGGCAGTCTTGACTGTCGTGTTTCTCTGCTGGGCCAGATCTCCAGCTGTGCCTTTGTTTCTCTCTAGATGAAAACAGTCCAGGACAAGGAGCCAGGGACAGCTGGCAGCAGCTCAGCACTTGGTCCCATTTTGCTGTGTGGCCTCCTGCCTCCTCCCTGGCTGATGGCGAGAAGTGGGGTATGTTCTTACACAGGAGTTGAGTGCTGTGGGCTTGGGGTGCTCCTTGACCCCTTGCGCTTGTCACAGGAATGAGTATACTCTGATGGTGACGTTTTACAAGCCCTGCCTGGGAGAGGGGAAAGAAGCTGATCCGGAACAGCTAGGCAGTCCTCAGCCATGCAGCAACCATCCTCCCTGCACATGCACCAGAACCCCTGCCCTCACCTTCTGCTTCAGCCTGTCCTCCTCTTCCTCCCCCCTCGCAGCAGCCGTGCCGCCATCGGACAAGTTCTTTCCGCTTTGGATTATCCCTCTAAGAGGACTTGGCCGGAAGTCCCGCATTCCTTCCATGCGAGCGCTGCCCTGGGCGCTCGCCAAGGCCCGGCCTTGCTGCCGCTATCGCGTGGGGCTCGGCGCCAGGCCTGCCGGGCCCTGCTTGCCGTGTGAGCAGCAGGGCCCTGCTGGGGTTAGCGTTCCTGAGGGCTGTTTAGGCAGGGCTTGCTTGTATCTCTCATTCTGACATTTGGATGCAGAAGGGGCTGCTGAAGTGTTAGTTTGAGTGCTGGTTGCAGCAGGGCTCTGCTTCAACCCTGCTCTCTGTCTGCCTGGGATCAAGGATGCTTCTCTTCCCAAAGCTCCTGGCTCCTGTTTGCCGGAACAGTTTTGGTGAATTCCCATTTTTTGCTACCTGACCTGGGGAGAAGGGTGCCCAGCTCTGGTGTGGATTCCTAAAAAGGTTAGGAGTGAGTGTGCATTGTGGAAGGGGCAGCGGGTGCTTCTCTAACAGGGAGGCGGATGATGGGGATGGAGGTGGATGAAGGTGTCCGCACCAGTTTTCAGGAGATCCCTCATGCATCTGTTATTTCACCCCTCAACATTCCTGTGAGTTTTACTTGTCCCCTACCACAGCACAGCTCAAGCAAGGAGCCGTTCTGCAGGACTCCAGCTATGGGCTGGAGCACCGAAGGGACCCTCTCCTCTGTCCCTGGCTTGCAGCCCAGCACCAAGTCCCCCTCCTCCAGCTGGAGCAGAGCACGGCTTGGCCTGGTGCCTCAGGCCAGCTGCTCTCTGCAAGCACTTGGTGGGAGGTAAGGGATGTTCTCCTGACAGGCAATTTGCGAGAGTGCAAAATAGCTGAGGTGTCCCAGCCCTGCACTGCAGAGAGCCCTGGGGCCTGCAATGGAAATGTTCTCCCCAGGCTCCTCACCCTGGCCCTCCAGGGTTGTGAATCCAGGTTGGGAGCTGGAGGGGTGCTGGAGAGCAGAGAAAAACAGCCAAATTGATTTTCCTCCAGTCCCTATGCCCCACATTTCCCCCGGGACCAAGAGCAGCCAGGAAAGGTGGGTTTGTCCCTGCTGCTGCACAAGTGCTGGGGCAGGAGGATCTCCTGCTGACGTCCAGCTTCCACCTGATGTGC